TTTGAGAAATATTGTAAGAGGTAAAGCATATTCATAGTAAATTATTGAGCAAAACCTGGAGGCTAGCTCTCAGGAAGCAAAAAGTCGACATTGGGAGATATTTGGCAATAAAATAATTTACAAAGAGATGCAATAGGTATCTGCAGTTTTTAGACAGAAATCTGAAACTAGACTAAATAAAACACTGCGATATGTTTTGCAAAGAACAGTCCCCAATGGTGGGGATAGGATGATATTATATGAAAGCATTGCCAGTTAAGAGTGATACAGGGAGGCAGAATCACATATGGGAGAGGAAAAAAGATTTGAAAAAGTACTTTTATTTGCAGACAGGAGGAACTCAGAGTTTGCAAATAAGTGCTTTGCTTCTGTGCAGGGTGGCAGCAGTTCAGCACAGATGCACTTACCCAAATAACTGATTGTTTGCATCTGATACCCTGGGTACAGATAAAGCCTTATGTTTTCCATACTTTGCACATCTGCAAAGTCTCTACAACTCATTAGTTTACTGGAGTGATTTTAAGTGACTTACAGCATGTCAAGTGAGCTAAGTTAATAGTGCAGTTTTTAAAGACACTGTATGTGCTACTTCCAGCAGTATTTGGATTAAAATGTCTCAGTGCTGGAGTATGATCTGTGCAGCTTTACTCATAGCAAAACATGTGATTGTGTTTGTGTGTGCGTTGGCATTTTGACCACTTTCTCATATAAACCTGCCAGTATAGCAGTAGTCATTACAGTACTTAAAATTGTATTTGCCGGTTTGCATTAGGACTTCTGCCTTTGCTAACACAAATGGACTTTGATGGAGGTTAAGAAAAGTGCTATCCTACAAGAATCTGGAACATATGAGTAACAGATGAAATTGTCTCTGTATTTTGCCCATATTCTCAATCAAATCTAGGTCACAAGCTGATATCTTGATCTGTTGACAGAGCTACAACATGCACTTTCAAAAAGAGGTGAAAAGTAAACGTGTAGGAAACGTAATGTTAAGTGGAGACCTCTGAGAAAGTGGCAGTTGCCAGATTAATATTTTTTTAAGAAACACAAATACCAATCTTTACTTTCTGACCTGTGCTCTAGTGATTAGACTACTATCCTGTTTTTTCTGGGTTTTTTTGCCTGGTTATAGTGATGGTAGTTGTATAAAAGATACTGAATGACAGGCTACCAATTGAACAGGAATTTTATCTTGATGGGAGACTTTGGATACTTCGGTAGTACATGTGTTTAATATAACTGCAATGCTCACATATTGAAGCCAATCAGTTAAAATATAGGTGATCCTAAAAACTGAGATACAGAAAATGTATTTTCAAATAAATGTTTTGGCATCCCACAAAAACATTCCAAACAGCTTCATCTAACAAAATATTGTCTCATAATTTTAAAATTAACCAAATATCTGGCATGTTTCCGATTTCTTACATGATCTGTCCTTCAGATGGTTGCTGCCACTTAAATATTAGTGTCAAACAAGTAGCAGTTTCTCAGAACCCAGCTCTGCACAATGGTAGAAGTGGTTTCATATGAAAACATTTACTCAGGTTTATCTATAGATATGAGATCCAATGAGATGACTGAGATAATAAAAAAATGCCTGACAGATAAGACTGTGAAAAATACTATGTAATTGATCCTTATGTGTTTTCCAAATAAGTTGCAGCTGAATCAGAATGAATGGAATACACTTTGTGATGGGAGGTGTTGTGCAGAGATTGGATAGAGGCGAGCAGAGTGGAAAACTCACGTGAAAGTGTAATTCAAGCTCAGGGTATGACCGTGGCTTTTTTTGTAGTCTTGAAAACAAGGAAGTGGTTGACAGTAAAAATCAAGAAGTGCCTGAGCTTTTATCACCATAATGTCATGGGAGAGTTGGGTTGGCAGGGTTTTGGCTTTTTTTTGCTTCTTTTTTTATATGCTATTATCATGGAGGCTTTATGGAAGCAATAGACTAGGTGAAGACATAATAAGGATTACATCATTGGTCATTATTAGATTTTTAAATACAATTTATGAAATAAATAAGAATGAAATAATATTCACTTTTTGAAGATCAAAGCAAATTCTTACTGTGCCTAAATTCCAATAACAGACTTAATTTCTTCCATGGTGTGTACTGGACAGAGCAAATATTTAATCCTGTCTAATCTTAAACTCTAGAACATATGAACACTGAAGAGTAGTTTTCATAATTGTGATTCATTTACAATTTGTTTTGAAAAAGTGAAAAAAGTTGTTCAATCTTGGATTTATAATAAGGAGTTTGTGAGTTGTTACGTAATGATGAAGTAATTCATGCATTTTCAACTGAAGTGAAAGTAGAATCTACCGATGACCCCTAAGTGATGCAGAGATTTTTTAAGAGCTGTAGCTAAACTTAAATGTGTAACTGTAAATTTAAAATTTTACAATTTGATTTGTGATGCTTAATCTTAGGTGCATAATATTTAAACACTGTTATATAAACAATACAGGCTATTTAAATGTGTATCAGTATAAATCAAGCTATTAACTTTTGTTTTTCCAGGTAATTTCCTGTTCCAGCAGGAACAGTGTTGCCATTGCTGCTTCTACCCAAACTCCTTAGCCTCTTTCAGCAGTTAGAGCACGCACTTGGGTGTTGAGTATGCAAATCACATACTGACATCAAGAGGAATTCTAAATACTGACATAATTCTAGAATGTATAAATAGTGTTCCCTGAGTGCCTGAAGAGTAATATTTCACGATACGGCATTCCCTTTTGTAGATCAACATTTTTCTATGTCATTATAGGGGGAAAAGTACAACTTGAATGCCTATAGCATTGTGAGCTGCTTGTGAGCATTTACAGCCATACTGGAAATACATAGTCCATTTTTTGGTCTTGCAATGGACATGGGTTATATGGACTCCGACCATGTTGTGTAGACTCAAAGGATTCCCTACAAAAGAGGTCCAGAAGAAATACCTTTGAGGACACCAAAGAAAACCCCCCAAACCAAGATACCAACAAACAAAACTTAACCTATGCTTAAGCGTTCCTTTGTGAATTACATTAAAGCATCAGAATGCTCCAGAGTAGAGATAATCTGATGCTTCATTGATTTTAGTTAAACAGAGTTTTAAAACTCTTGTTGCTTATCAAAAGACTGAATGCCTTTGTAGCTAGTAAAGGCAAAGCAAGACAAAGAAAAATTGCAAATAATCCCAAGGAAGATGTGTTCAAAATCAGTGTTTTGCTTCCTGATCTGCTGCCAAAAGCAAGACAAATTTTTATTCATTTGGTTACTTTTGGTAGTGTTTCCTGTAAGAAGGAATCCAGGATTAGAATTGATGGGAGAAAGTAAATGAGAATTTCTTCTGGTTTACTGCATTACTAAATACTTTTTAAATGCCAGGCAATGTGTGAGGCAACTGTTTTTATTCACCCATTGGTTTCTAGAAAAAAAAAGAAATTGTTATAAAAATGAATTTCAGGCAATTAGGTTTCTTTCACTAAAACCAAAAAGTTGTTCTTAAAAGTGTGGGTAAGAAGTAAATTAATGATCTAAAAACATGTTAGCACAGAAACAAATACATTGTTTCACATGGTTTAGCACTAGCTCTTTCCTTTTTTTAGAATAGAATGTTCTTCTTTCTCCTGCATTTTCATCTGAGGATCATTTTCAGTTTGTCTTTTTCTGTGGAGAAAAGTTATTGGTGAACAGTTGCTCATTTCACCATGTGCAGAGAAAGGACAGAAGAGTGTTATAAAGAACGCTGAATAACAGCATCTGAGTAGAAGAATCATCTCAGATTTGTTTGCTACTGGTGACATCAGATGGCTAACTCAGAGTAATACTGATCTAAAAATTAGTGAAAATTTAAAGGTTTGGTATTGATGTCTGTTATATTTGGAGGTCCACATCTACAATATTTCATGAAGGAAGTGTCCATGATATTGGTACTTCTGTAGTTTGTCCATACTTTTTTGATCCATTTTGTTGCTCTCAAAATAAATACTTTTTTTTTGTTTTCATGCTGTCATGCTAGGTACTGGTAAGAAACTGAAAATACAGAAATTAATAGAGGATGGTGTGCACAAACAGGCAGGATTTTAAAGTAAAACCTTATAGGGTAAACCTGGAGTTCATTTGAAAGGACATGTGAAAATCAGCTTTGATTTTTTCTTACTTATGTACTTACTTAGCTTTGTTTTCTTATGCAAAATTAAAATCAATCACAGAAATTATCAATATTATACTAAAGCATAGAAGTATGCTTTTCTTCATTCTCTTCAAGTGAAATTTGGAAGTATCATTGAAGTTTGTGTTCAAAAGAATGGCAGGGTATCAGCTGAATTTGATTTTTTTCTCTGCTGGAAGCAGATTCCATTTTAATACAGTAATGACAGGCTCTTCCTTACTGTGTCCTTCAGAATTAAACAGTAAACTAAGAGCTCACCTAAGCCAAAAAGTTACAGCCGCCTTTTATTTGTCCTTTTTGGCTGTCTTGGCTGCATCTGTTCAGCTGGTGTTTCAGCAGGTCTAGTACAAAACTGCTTCTCCATCAGAGATAATTTACTCTGCTTAAAGGGCTCTTTTTTGCACTGCTCCAACTTCTTCATTCAGTTTTCTGTTGGAAAGTCCACATCAATCCAAGCAAAATTTACTTAAGGTCTTTAAAATCAGGAACAATAACTTAAAAATAAGTTTGAAAGAAACAAGTCGGTCTGTTCTCATGCTTGATTTACTTAAGAAATATTGATAGTACAATAATATAAGCAGTTCATACTGTCTGCTAATTATTTTGGAATTTTGTAGATGGGGAGTTTGACTCTTCAACAGGCCAAATAAATTGTTATATTTAAATAGTAACACATGATTATTTGAAAGTTAGCATAAAATGAAGGAGTCCTTTAATGGTTCAAGTATATTTTTTTTTAATCCTCTGTTATTTTTGGAACATTTATACACAAATGATTTTGTCATGTTAGAAAACATAGTATTAATTCTGTTTTTCTCTTGCCTACAGGGCAGCACAACTATTTATGTGCTGGAAGAAATGACTGCATAGTCGATAAAATTCGTAGGAAGAACTGTCCAGCATGTCGCTTGAGGAAGTGCTGTCAAGCCGGTATGGTCCTGGGAGGTAAGCTGCTTTTCAAATCTCGTTCAGAAAAATAGGCAGTTAAGAACACTGCCTTCAATCTGTCAAGTTTAAACAACAGTACTTTGATACTGTAAAGGAAAGAACCACATTAAAATGTTATTTTTGGAAGAATTACCTGATGTTTTAAAATTCCTTATAATTTTTATTTAATGAATCTGGAAATCCCGAAACAAAAATACCTTTCTGTAGGAATCTCTCTCTCCTACTGTGTACCCTTATACTCATTTTCTTGCAAGGGGGCAGGAATTATGTCTTTGGTGTGTATTTATTAATAATTTTTGATCAGAAGATTTGGTTTAGGTAAAAAACAAAGAAGTAAATTGAGATCGACACTAAATTCAAGAATCAGTACTATCCCCTTCTCTTTTCTGTTGTGCTCTCCATCATTGCTTTGAGTAGATGTGAACAAAATTATATCCTGTTCCAACGAAGAGGGCCAGGCAGTGGTTACACCAACACTACAGACTTTGCATACTAGATGCTGGGAACTCCCATCTTTCTGTTAGTCTTGCTGTAACAGATTTGCTTTCTTTATGTAACATTAATAAAAACTGAGCACTATGCCTTTGAAAACCTACAGGGAGAAAATGGTGTAGGATCAGGTGGTCCCGTGGCAAGTTTTGCTGTGCTAACATGCAGGAACGATGCATATTTTTCCTGTATTTTTTTCATATTTTTCATGAGAACTTTAGCTATATAAAGTTTTGGATCAGCATAAAGCTTGAAAATACATGGCTAAGACTGTAAGAAAATGGCTATATAAAGATGATAGAATATGTTCTCAAGGGGAATTAAAAAAAGGAAGAAGAACAAAAACCTGATTTCTTTCTAATATAATTTATTTTAGTGCATCAAACATTTATCTTCCTCTCTCTGCATTTTATGTATTGTTTTTTATCCCTGAAGGAAGAAGTGGCATTATATACTGTGCGTAATTTCATTATCTTGCTAATCTGTGTTCATTCATAAGTTAAAACGTGTATGTAGTTTTCAGACTGATACTTTGATGGCACAGCTGTATGCTTTTAGCTCCTGTACTGCCGTATGGAGGTGGAGTAATCTGCACACATGGCCATTGTGTCATTCTTACATTTTATACTTTTACTGGTGATGTGAATCAGTAGTTCCCAAACAGCGAGCAGCTGTTGCTAGCTCTTGGTACTTCATCTTCTGTAAGCGACTACTGCAGCTCCAGGGAAGGGCCAGTGGGATGAGAGGAAGGAGAGGCGGTACTGCGGAATGGACTCTGTTCTGTGTTGTACCCCTGAACCTCCTCAGACCTTCAGTGCTGCTGGTCCTTCGAGGTGTCTTCTCCAGATTGCATCCCTCTCACCCCACAGCACTGGAGACAGAGTAACGAGAGCCATCAATCTAATTGATGTTAGTGTCTCTCCCTCCTTCCCACGCCTCGGTCAGTCAGTGCCACCTCTCAGTAAAAAAAAATGGAGCTGACAAGCATGATGGTGGCACTGGACTCGGGGAGGAGGGACAAAAGGAAAAGAACATGTCCTTTGGACCCTTCTCAGAGAGAAGTGGTGCTTTAGAGCTGCGAGCAGTGCAGTAGAGAAACAGTATTACTACAAAGGCTGAACCTGAAGCATTGTTTGCCCAGGTTTGGAAGAGGAGAAAGCCAAGGAGGCAAGGGTCCAGAGTGGGCTGTGGAAAATATGTGGTAAGAATGGAGACTCAGGAAAGGAGGAGGTGGCAAATATAATGCCTGTCTTCTAAGGTTTGGGGCAACTTGTCTGCTTGTCTTGTAAGGTTTGAGCAACTTGATCTATAAAAGAGGTCCATGCCCATGGCAGTGGTTCGACTAGATAATCTTTAAAGGTTCCTTCCAACCCAAACCACTCTATGATTCTAACTGCTGTAAATTAAAACAGGTAAAAATTCATTCCTGGCTGTGAGTTTTGCACAGCCAAGAGTTTGATGATGATCTAACCTGAATTTTCGTGTATGATAGCCTGGATAATATCAATAACTAAGCCCCAAGTATTTTAACATCACAGGCAACACTGTTTCAACACGCAGAAGAGTGTGTGACTCACTAGCATCATCTAGTCCTTTTGCTCCAGCATTGTTCTGCATAGTAACTCTACGTAAGAAAAGTAGCCAGAAGGTTTGACTTCGTTCTATATTTTGCATGTGTTTCTGGATGCTAGTTTTCCCAGTGGTTTTTTATATATACATTTTGCTCTGGGTGTAGGTACCTAAAATGGAAAAAGTTGGACACTTTTGCTAGCAATATTGATGAGATGGTATGTCCTCATTAGTGTGTCCTCATATGAGGACGTTATGTCCTCATACTTGAAACCCAAACCTGAGGATAAAGGTGATCTGACTCTTAGTTCTTTATTATCATGTATGAGGAGCGTAAAAACTTCCTCTTTCTCCTTGGATCAACTTTTTTTCTCAGCTATTACTAAGCAAGTGTGAATAGTTTCTTTGTATTTAGTGTGAGGTTGTTTTATCTAGCCAGTTTGTTGTGTTGTTTCGCCTTTTTTTAAACATACCTAATCAAAGCCATCTTCCATTCTTTGAGGAGACTGTTCCAATCTAGTTCCTCTAGTTCTTGGAGGGGCATAGCATCTCATCAGATGTCTGCCCTGATATCCCCAGCTGCCCAGTCTTCTGGAAAGAAGTGATCTGGCAGCAAATAGTAAGTAGAACAGTGGGGCAATGGAGAAAAGAGAATATGAATGGAGCCAGGACTGTGGCATCTCTAGTTTTTTCTCAGCTGCATCAGGTTGAGTGTAGTATGTCAGGTTCTCTTAGTGATGTCAGCAGTTCTGGGGGGATTAGGAAGCTAATTATTCTATGCAGGTTAAAATGGAGTGCTAAATACTGAAAGGAGAAGAGAAGACAAATGTAGGCAAAAAAATGAGGAAAACTGGAGTGAGATTGTGTTATTTGTAAATGAGGATTTAAAATCCAAAGCAACAAAAAATCTCAAGATGGACTGTTTAACCATAATGCTCTTTCTACTGTTACTGTCATCTTTCTTACTTTTGCTTTTCTGGCATTTCTTGTACTTTCTTTATTGTATCACATGAGCAATGCTTCCTACTTGTGACTTGCTGTGCTGATCAACACAGTGTGATTTATATATGGGGTACTACTGGGCTTAGATAATTTTCCCCAGGACATAAGTGTCCACAAGCAAATTTTCAATTCATGGAACAAATTACATACTTAGATACATCCTTGATTATTTTAAAGGAGTCAGAATTGTCAATATTTAAATCTTTTCTTGTGCTTACAGCCTAATATATTTTAAGATTTTTTGTGCATTTTCTGATCTCTTCCATTCACAACTTACATAGATACACTTTTGTTCGTTTATTCCTGCTACTTATTTTCTTAAAGTTAGCCTTTCGTTACTAAACACAGACCTCCAGTAATACTTAATCAAGGTGAGAAAGACTAAGAGTTTACAGGATGTTAACTACAAGATTCTGAACATTCTTATTACATTAATTAAATTACACTTACTGCTGGGAGAAGTATATGTATCTTCCACTGAGTATTACTGAATGGCAACCATATAGATGGAGAATAATACTGTATTTCATTGACAACAGTTCCATTTTCCAACCCTAATTTCAAAGCAATAAAATGAACCTGAATTGTTCTAAAATAAAGTGTAGTCAGTTGTAAGTAAACTATAGAATAGCAACAAATAGCTTTAGTCACTGATTTCACTATATGGACTGTTTCTTCTTTCTTAATATATGGAAGGAAAATATCAATGAAAGCATATATTTCAGAATTCCTTAATTGTCATTCTCTATGGGAGTGTTAATTAGTTTTGAGTTTTACAATCTCGTAACTGGACATGTTAATCTATCCTCTTTCTAATCTTCTACCTAATAGGACAGCAGGTAGCTGGGTCAGGTCCTGGGATAAACAAATACCCAGCTTTTTTATTTCCTATCAGTGAATCTGTAATTTTCCCAGGCTGACTATCACAGATTCCTTGTTCAGCTGTATTGCTAAATTATCACTTTCTTCATTGTTTCAGTTACCTTTCAGTCTGCATTGCAGTGATTACATGCAGGCAAATTTGTATTAATTTTCCAGGTAATATTTTCTAAGGTAGCATCAAAGGGTTTATTAAAAACAAGATGTATTAATTCTGCTTTGCTGCTTTGTTCCTTTATTTTGTATACACCCTCTTAAGGTGTACACAGCTTTTTCTCCTACACAGAACGCAAGAGCATAGTGACCTTAAAGTCAGAGCCATAGTATTCTGTCAAGAATAATAAATTATTGACATTTTTCACCTGATAACAGGGTATGGAGAAGGATAGTGAGATGTTAGATTTTTACTAGAAACCCAGCCATTTTAATAGGAGAAATCTACTATCAGTAATGCCTGATTGGTAGTATGGTTCTGTATACCTAGTTAAAAGAATATTAAAGTACAGAATTATGTATTAAGGAGAAAATCATAATATATTTGATGATGAGATTAAGTACATTTTATTTTTTTAATTTCTTTATGTTTTCTAGGTACATGTAGTACACAAACACTATACACGTTATTTGTAGTAAGTGAGGGTAAGGGAACTGCTTGAGTGGTTGGCTATCTTAAAACAAATTAATGAAAACGTTACAAAGAAAACATGTGCTGTCTAAATATGCACAGACAGGTTTTAGTATTAAGATGAATAGTTGCCAGAATGGATTAGTATTCTTTACACATTATAGGACTAAGTAGAGACATTTGTTTATCTTACAGCAGGAACTTATCTGGATATTTTTGTAAGCAGCCATTGAAAAACTAAGCTATTGTCAAATCTCTGTTTTTTTCTTTCTGTCCTTAAGAGTTTGCGTTAATTTGACATAGTTTTCTTGTGGTAGATGGGAAAGTTTACTGTGAGTTGTTAGTAGTCACCTCTCCAATAGATAGGTAGCAAGTGGAGTTGCTTTACTGGTGGCTGTTAAGCAACATAATTAGAAATAAACACATAAGCAATTCTGCAAAACAGTGTGACATTAATTCTGATACATGTAATCACTTGGAAACATGGGTACTTATTAACTACTAACATTTCCATGTCATAAGCACTCTGTTTGGTTTCTTTCTTTACCTGTTCTCTGAACTGTAAAAGTATCTGAAGCCATTATTTCAGAAAATACCTGAAATCATTATTTATGAACTATCAAATACATTGTTCCTTCTGTTTTCCTTCATGCCTAAACAATAGTTAGTGGGAAATTCCCAGCATGTTTAGGACTATGTATAGCTTTGTTATGATAGAAATTGGCCTTAGGTCTCTTGTTGTAATATATTGTCTATTCTTTTGGTTCAGCTGTAACATAAGGTGTAAGTTTGTGTTTGGTTCTTTACTAAGGAGTCGCTAATCAGAAATATTTGTATACTTACCAGAAGTGATAAAATGACCATAACATTGTTGGGGCACTTGATACTGAGCTAATTGAACTCACAGTTAAGTTAGTGGGAGTATGTCCCCTGACTTCGTTGGATGATGAATGTTATGGAAGAGCCCATCACTCATATTTATACTATCAATAAGGTGTGTTTCTTGAAACTTTGTTCAGTATACACCCTTTGGATTTTAAATACTGTTTTAATTTAAATTGAAGACTTGCACTTCTGTGTACAACTTTTTTCTATGTGAAATGCATAAACATGCATATTTATGATGGGATAACACAAAATTATTTTTTTTTAAAAAGCAGACTTTAGCTTTTTAGATTGTGTTCATCTGCTCAATCCTGTCTGGTTCACAAACAGGAAGATTGATTCTGCCTCCAGTTATGCCAGTGTATATCAAGAGTCATTAAAGTAATAGAATTTGTTCTGTGTAAAATGTTTAGAAATGACATAAGAATCTTCCCATGTTTCATGTATTAATCTTGCTTCAAGTTATACTACCTGTGTACTAATGAATGTTTTGAAAAGGTCATTTTAATTCTCTGAAGTGTACATCCTAGGTCTTCCAAAATGGAGACACTGGATTTTCATAAAATTTGCTATCTTCTATGATATGGGAGCACCTGAAGAAAATGGAATAGACATGTTCCTAAGTAAAACCATTTTTGTTGAAGCTTTCTGTTTTAGTGTGTAGTTTGGAACACTGGGAGTTTCCAAAGAGGACTATGCTAGCGTCTCTCGATTCCTTCCATAAGCAGTTCAGAATGGATTCAGAGCATGTGCCAAAGTTTAGCTGTGCTTCCCTACTCCTGTGTCCTGGGGCCTCTTTGGTGTACTGGTTGCATTCTGACAGCGCAGCACTAATTTTAACTAAAACAGAAGGCAGTAAGAGATGAAGTCTTTGTCCCCTTCCTTTAGGATGTGATAAGTTCCCTTGTCTAACCTTTCACTTGTAAATAAAAATACCATTTTTCAAGAGACAATTTGATATGCATGTTATGAACTGGATTTTAATTCAAACAAATAGATGCATGCTGTTAAGCTTCTATTACCTTCCACCTCCTCTACTTTTAGATTGGTTTTTGCATATTGCCATTTTGTAATGCAGTTTCTCAGTGGTTCAGCAGTTTGATAGGCATGGATTTTCTTTTCATCCAGTGAAATTTGGTGCATCTCTTTTTCTACTGTTAAAGTATGCAACACCTCTACAAGTGAAAATATCCAGGTGATTTCTGGATGGTTTTTGGAGCAAAACCTTCTCCTTCCTTATTATTTCTTTAAGGTTGAAACATGTAAACTTTTTATTTTTCTTTGTTAGCAGAGTGATTTACCGTTTTTTTTCCCATCACCCTGCATCTTACTGTTCCACCATCATTTAAATCAGACCATAAGTATCAGTATCTTTATTGCATTTTTTTATCCCTTTTTTCACAAAGCCAAACTTGTTTGGCAGAAATAATGATCTAACAGGGTTTTCATCACCTTTGAGGATCTATTTAAAGCAAATGTGTTTCATGCAGCCACCTCTACATGGATTTGTCTTTTTATTGAAACTTGTAATATGGTAATTTATTGTCTTTGAGGGTTATTGTCTGTGAACCCCTGAAAGTTTGATTTTCTGTGTCTATATAGGTGCACTGCCAGACTGTTTCCATGAAAGAAATTTGAAGAGTTGCTACCTAGAGATCTGTATATTTCCATAGCCATGCCAGATGCAGTATCTGTGCTTACTTTGGGAAAGCAGTTCAGCTATTTATTTTTTTTCAGTTAGTGTTCTTCAAACCACTGCAGTATGGAAATAAGAATTGCAAATACTGAGAAAGAGGAATTATTTTTTAGAAAGTGAAGAGTTTTGCAAGTGTTGACATGTGGTTTTACAGTATTTGTTGGCATTTCACTCATCCCCTGAATTCTGTTTTCTTTCTGGTAAACAGGAGGAAGATATTACATTAGAGACTGTCAAAATAGAATTTAGCCATGAGACTGAAATGCCTTTATAGAACTGGAAAAAAGGAATTTCTGTGTGTAGTAATTAATTACTAGTGTTTTTGTTTCTGAGTATTAGAAAAAAGAAACAATATCCTTAATTAACATTGAATAGAAACTGTATTGTAGAGCCAGCTGGCTCAGCTGTCAGCATATGATAGAACAGTGGGAACTGAACCAGAAAACACTCTACGAGGTTACTGTAACCTAGAATTCATGGCAATAATTTTAATGGGTGGGTGCTGTTCATCTCTTAGTGAAGGGAGGAGGATATGGAGGGAGAAACTCTTAAGAATTTTCCATGATTGTTTCTTAGTTATATAAATAGTCAAAAAATAAAAAACTTATTCCGAAGACAGTTATAGTTTCCTTGTATAGATTAAAAGTGTAATGCATCACTACTGGAAAAAAATTAATGTTTCTGGTTAATTCTTTTTAAAAGATCAACAATTTTCTTTTTCAGGTCGAAAATTTAAAAAGTTTAACAAAATTAAGGTTGTGAGAACATTAGATGTCGCACTCCAGCAGCCAGCAGCCCTTCAAGATGAAAGCCAGTCTCTAACCCAAAGGCTGTCCTTTTCTCCAAATCAAGAAATACAGTTTGTTCCCCCAATGATAAGTGTTCTACGAGGCATTGAGCCAGAAGTTGTCTATGCTGGTTACGACAATACAAAACCCGAAACACCAAGTTCCTTGCTGACCAGTCTAAATCATCTTTGTGAGAGGCAACTTCTTTGTGTAGTCAAATGGTCTAAATTGCTACCAGGTAATGGCACTTCTTATATGTAGTAAATTCTAGTTAAGCAAATACGTCATAGGATGAGCAGTCAAAAGAGAATATTATTGTCTGCCTGTTAATTAATTCTTAACAAATTCTAAAATGATTAAGCTTCCACTTCATAAGTTAATATATCTGATCAAATACATTTTAATAGGAAGGTACTTTTGAAGGAATGCATCTAAATATTTAGACTCACTCCAAAACACAACAGAAGCCTAAAAGAGTTCCTGTCTGTGATTGTTATAGCAGCCTTTCCACCCCAAATCCTCCTACTCTATTAATCCTTTTGGTATTAAAAATTGTTTATATTTCTGCATATTCTTTATTCTTACTCTTATTAAAATGAATTTTTGAAAGCAACAGAGAAAAATTGTAATAAATAGTGCCAGTTAGGACTAAGTAGCTCACAAATAGACTGGTAATGAGAAGTAACTGAATTTATGAAGATCCAGACTGGATTCCAAAAAATATCCATGTTATGTACGTACGTGTGTTGTATGGTCATAAGGGCCTGATCCTGGGATATATAAAAAACAATATACTGAGTAGAAAGCCTGGAAAATACAGTTTCATGTGAGCGCAGTGTGACACTTCACTGCTGCAGGAAAGGGTAGTCCCTATCACTGCTCTTCCCCATTGCAGCTTGCGCTTGTCAGAACTCTTGGTTGAACTGATTCATCTCATTAAGTGAGAAGAAAACAAACCTTTTTTTTTTTGCCCTCTGTAGTTTTCTGATGGCTTCATGACCTGAACCAGTTCACTGAGGGGTAGCATGAATGCCAAAACTTGCTTGAAGGAGGTAACAGGGCCAGGTAATGAAGAACAGGACTGCTGCTTTCAGTGGCAGGAAGCTGTTAGATTGGCTCAGATAATTCATAGCAATCCTTAAAGTTATCAAAGAGTGAAAGTTATCAAAGGCAAACACACAACAATATGCTTCTCTTTGGTTAAATGCAAGAAAGATATTCATATGTGGATGTTTATTGTATTACAACTGTATTTCTTGTTAAGAACGCTGAAGTTCAAGCTATCTGTATTAAATAAGAGTTGGTTACAGTCATCATGTTACAAACTGTCATATTTTTACCAAAGGAAAATGAGATGCATTCCTATTTGCTGAAATAGTCACTTTTGACTGCTAAAGTGAATTTTGGTTTGATCATTTCAAAATATTGCATCAGAACAAAAAGACAAGAGGTTAACTATCAAAGTGAGATAGCCAGTTATTATATAAACTTGAGACCTATGTCCCCAAAAGCACTTGTCTTTGTAGGTGTTCTCAGTTTTATAGCTCAAAGTTTTAATCTCAGAACACCTACTCAGCTGTTGTCTAAGTGAAAATTATAAAGTATTTTAACTTTTAATTTAATTTCCAGGATTTCGGAATTTACATATCGATGATCAGATAACCCTCATCCAGTATTCCTGGATGAGTCTAATGGTTTTTGCAATGGGATGGAGATCATACAAACATGTCAGTGGTCAAATGTTATATTTTGCACCAGATCTGATTCTAAATGAGTAAGTAGACTCTGCTGTTGCATAATATGAATGACATTTTGAACTTATCTGTGTCAATGAGAATGTTACTTCATGGAGGCCAAGATTTCATTCATTGCTTGTTCTGTTTCAAAATTAACAGCAGAGGAAAGTTCTCTGATCATATTGAAGTTCAGTAACTTTGGGAAGGGTTTTGTGGGAATCCCAAATATTCTGTTGACATGGCCAAACAAAAGGTGTTCAAACAGTATTTTAATTATCTAAGAGAAAAATGAAAAAAAAATAAAATGATGCTGTCAGAAGATTTAGCTGAATTCATCTGAATAAGACATGAGTTAATGTTTAATAAATGGAACTAAGTGGTATTTTCTTTGGTCGTCGTTTGGGTGGGTTTCGGAAATACTAAATAGTCAGTTTTGACACTTTCTGATAAAACTCTGCTTTTCTAAAGTACGTTTCTTGTTAGAAAATTGTAATAATTAAGCAAGAAGGATTTTTAATATCAAGGATAAAATAAGTGAGACTTCTCCTTTCTGGCTTGAGGGGGGGATTGTTGGCTTACATTTTCCTTCACTATGCTGATTAATTCTGATAATCTTCATTTCAGCCTTTGACAGTTTTTCAGCTCTGCAAATTAATATGGTCAAAGCTGTAATTTTAGTTACTTTGGTTATAGTACATGGGAAGTTTCCAGGAACAGTAAAACGTAATTTAATCTCCCTATTTATTTTTCTGCAATACATTATTCTCAGTTATCTTTTCTTAAAATGCTAAAAGAACTACTATGAAGTGAGATGAAAGTTGAAGAGGTTTTCTTGTAAGACATATCTGTTTAAGGATTAAGAGGTGGATTTGCAGAAGATCTAGGCACCTGAATTTAAAATCCGTAGACCTGCAAGTTCTTGCCAGTGAAGTTCTTTGTAGAAAATGCTCGGTGGAGCAGGCCCTGTAGCTCCTGACCTTTTCTCTTCCAGATGACTGTAAATCACTGTGAGTTTGTAGAGTAATGAATTCTTTCCTCTCCCATGTGTATTAATTATGCTGTACAAATTGAAATACTTTGAAGGAATGAGATTGAGAGAACTTCTGACTGTATTCTGTCCCAGCATAGTCTGTGATACATCTCATGGTTACATTCAGAAGTAACACAGTGAGGTGGCTTTAGGCAGTAATGGCATGTCTTGGGGTATTACCCTGCATGTGGACCGCTGCTGCCACCTTGTGAAGACAACTTAAGTACCTTCTTCCAGACCAGGGTTGAGATTTGTGAATCCTGATTATAATCCCTTAGAGGCATCTTATTTGCATCTCAAGACCACCTACATCGAGAAGGAGGTGGACTGACAACATACCCTTCTCTTGGTTGTAGAACATCTCATCAAGGTCATATTAGAAATGTTATAAACAAAGAGTTAGACATGAAAAGTAACTGGCACACTAAATCATAGCTGCAACTATTTATTGGCAAATAAGTTAGCTTTTAGATCAGTAAAATGTAAGCAACTTCCTTATCTATGATGATGTCTAAGATTGTACTTTCACGATTGCTTTACACAGAAGTAACTGCTGAACACTGCCAAAAAAGTTAACTCCACCTGCCTCCCTGCCCCGGTCATGCATCCCCATGATTTCACTGAAGCTGGATCAAACACTATCTGGCTGCACTGTCAAACAGATAAGGAAATTGAATGCTTGAGAAATACCCCAGAAAAAGCCATTAATTACAAGGTGGAGGTGATCCCTGACCTGACTCACGATGTGGGAGTGCAGACACTAATGCCAGAATAGCAGGAGTGCACACCTAGAGCTGGGAAGAGAAAATGGAAATTCCTTCTACAGGGGCAACACACACTTGAGTTGTTTCAAAATGACCATGAAACCACAATCCAAAGATTGTTTCACAGCCAATCTGTCATTTAACAAACTGAGTTGTAGTGCTCCTTGGAAATGACTTGTTTGGTAGCATCAGTTTCAGACCAAGAAAGCCAGGAGTGTTAGTCTGACAAAGATTTTATGAATTAGTATTAAAACCCTACAAGGGTTTACTGTTACTTACACTTTGCAGTGTCTGAGAACATGAATAAGAACAGCATTTAAGCATACCCTGAAAGCTGCTATCACTCTTCATAGATAATAATTAGGAATAGAGACTACCAGAAAGGACTAGGAAGGGAGTTTTAAAGTAGATATAGAAGTAACCAGTCCATTCAGATCTAACATTAAATTTCTGTGTTTAAGTCATTTAAGAGCTGGTATGAGATACCAGATGTTGAACAAAGCTGAAATAATTTTCATTTAAGATAACAGCAACACTTTAAATAGCAAGGAAAAACTTCAATGCATTGAGAAGAGTCTTTTATTCATGGAAAATATACTCTGTTTTCATTGTTGAGGGTATTACCTGCAGTCAGGTTGGAATGCTGATCTGAACTTTGTAAGGGGCAGGGGGGGCAAAATTTAATCTTCTTGTTGTTATTTACCTAATTCATTTGGATTGGGATGCAACTTTTGTAAAATTAGCCCAAGTTACTGGATCTTCAGGTTAATGTACAATGAATTTAGTCTAGATTACAAACTTTGTAGTGCTATTGTTGCAGTCATTTCAGTTGAAAACTGCCTTCCTAATAAATATTTACAATAAAATATACTCCGTGTACCAAAATCTCAACAAGAAAAGCAAGATAGAAGTACTGCAAAAAACTAAACAGTTTTATGTATTTCCTTGTGTGATTTGTCCCATTTACTTCTGCAGGAGTTTAGATAAGGCTATATTAATGTCTAAGTTTACTTAAAAACTTTTTGTATATATTTACATGTAACATTTTTAACTGTTTAACAGCATAAAATGCTACAAAATTATATCATTGCTTTTAGCAGAACAATGTTAGACATGCAACAAAGTATTTTGATGCAGACATTTTTGCAAAACCTAAGAAATAGTTTTCTATAAACTTTCAAGTTTATCTTCAATTTTATGCTTTGAAATATTTTCAGAGAATGTAAAAATCTGTCAACCTCTAAAAGAAAATATTTGCTTCACATTAATCATTAGGGTGTTTTTAACTAATAAAACTCCTTCTTTTTTGGTGGTTAGCATTCAGCTTTGAAAGTCTCCGAGGTGTTTTTTTTTTTTTTCTGGGCAGCAGTAACAGATTAAACATCCAAAATAATAGCACATTCATTACAATTAAAAAACTAGTGTAGGTACAAAACAGTCAGAAAATTGTTTATGTGTGTAACCTCTTTCTTTAATTTCTGCAATGTGGTAATTAAACTGCTAACAAGGCACTTCCTTCAAACAATTAGTACTGGAGCCCTTCCTTTTCTTTATTTTCTTTTTTTTTGTTTTTTTTTTACCTTTTCTGGGTGTAAGACAGAGGATGAAAGAATCATCGTTCTATTCCCTGTGTCTATCCATGTGGCAACTCCCACAGGAATTTGTCAGACTTCAAGTTAGCCAAGAAGAGTTCCTGTGTATGAAAGCACTGTTACTTCTCAACACAAGTAGGTACTTTTATTTCTTTGAAATATATCACTAATAAAAGAGTTTTGAACCATGTTGTTTAACTTGACAATTGCTAAGCTATCTGGCTTAACAAATGGAAACTTCTTTAGGAGGAATGTTAGTATTCCAACACCTAAAAATATTTTTTCTAGTGTTTATAAGGAACAAGTAATTTGTGATGCATTGTTGATTTTATTCTGTATAAAGACACTGAGGAAATGTTGGATGCCTTTTGATAGATGGCTATACTATATTACACATTTTCAAATCAAGTGTGCAGTGTTTCTGCCTGGAAGCTCTTCAGCTTAAATGACTATACACAGACAAAAAAATGTTACAAGCATTAGAAATGTTATTTAAAAATATTTTATAAATTGTCAGGACTGAGGGCTTTATCTTGGCCAAGAACTTAAAACATGCTTACTCAAAGGAATTAGGGAGGTGGACATGGCACACAATACTAACATTTATTCAACTTTATATAGTTATAAATAGGTCAAGTTTAGCACAGACATAAACAAATGGAAATGTTTTTCTTTGGTTTGTTTCTCTAGAACAAAATCTGTGGTCACTTTTAATTATACACATCTGTTAAGGAATCCAGCATACAGCTGCATTCCACTTTAAATGGGAAGTGTGGTAGTTGATGAAGTTATCTTCCAAAACCTTTTCTAAAATACTAAAATGTACATCTGCTGCAGCCCTAAGTGTTAGTTATGAATCCCCAAATAGAAAGTTTTAAAATGGTGCAGGTGCTATTAGAAATGAGAATAAGCATCTCTGAGAAATGTAATTGGAAGAATGTTGAAGTTTGGTTCTCTACACACTTACGGAGTCAGAGGAGAGATGTGCAAATCCTGCATAACCTCCTTGTTGGTTGTACAAAGTTTAGTAAAAGATAAGGAACTAAAATTTATTCCCTCTTAAGCTGTACTTTGCTGGTATTTGCATAAGCTCTTGCTTAAAAAAAACCCTTGGTGTCAGCAGAGCATAAGCAGTAAAGATTAAATTTAGCTCATATGAACATAAAAATTACTAAAATAATAGTAAAATACTATATACTCTGCTAAAGCAATAAAAATAATGTGGACAACAATCCCTCTCTGATAGAACTCCAGTTGCTTTGTTGGAATCTGAATATATTCCTATTTTAAATGTTTTCCACCTTGTTATCATCACAAATGAACGCCCTTGTCTATTACCTGAACCTCAGAGGGAAGTTTTAAATTTCAGTGAAATTTAGATACATTTGTGATATTCCAGCTATCCTTTTCTGTCCCAGAAAGTTCAAATCAAATTCAAAAAACTGTTACAGTGGTCCAGTCCCTCTCATTTATGAGTGCATTAATTTAACAATATTCAAGCTACCATTCTTTATGAACTGCGTTGCACTCAAACTCATTTTTAAGGTGAAATGTTTATATATATTCAAGAAATTAGTTTTTTTTTTTAAAAAAAAGGAAGTATTTCTACCTGTGCTGATGAGTTTTGCTTTTCATTCTGTCCTGCACTTATTGTCCTATAGGAAAAAACAATTTGTCAGATCTTTGGGAAAAGGAACACGCCTAACCGTTGTTGCTGAGACATTTAGTAAACATTTGGTACTGTATAAATATAATTCCACAAAACTATTTTCAAAAAACCATATAAACTCATTGTTGCTATAAAGTGGTTTTAAAGACTACTTTTATTTTAGTCATGGTATTCACCTTAATCCTCTTCAAATGTGAAAGTATGGCCATTTCAAGCTTTCATATACTAACAGTAAATCAAGCCTGAACTTTTAGTCTCTTATTCTGTCTTCTGTTTGATTTATTGTTTAGATAAACTGATTTTTACTTTTTATATAATTTTGGAAAAACAGTAATTTGTATTAAACATAACTAAATGTCAGTCTTGATAGATTTTTAATTCTGAATGGACCCCCCAGCCTAAGTTTTAATATTATTTTTGATTTTACAGTTTTTCCATTGAGTTTGCTGTGGCTTAGATGTTTTCTTTATATTGTACGTGTGACAGCTTTAAAGCTGTCTTGAAAGCAGAATTAGTCTTTGCAAAAAGTGGACAAACATTTTTATTTTCTGCAATTGTTTCCATTTTACAGGTCCTTATTTACTGTATGTAACAAGCTGTGTTGTAGTAGTGCCCCGTAAGTTCTAAATAGAGCTCCGTCTTGCAGAGGCCATATCCATCTAGGAACTAATACTATGAATAGTTCAAAAAGACTATGATTTAAGAAAGTAGGGCTATGCCAAAAAAGAGAGAAGTAAGCATATAGCAAGTTCAGTTCTAGCTCTAACACTTTCCAGACTTTTGATTTAGAGGAATTGCAAAATCTTATTGCATAAGATTTTGGCTGGGTTCTTCCCACTGATTAAAAGCATCCGCATTCTTTACACATGTTCAGGGGGAAGGAACATTTGAGCTACCTGTGCTTAAGTTGCATTTGTGCATGTAAGACATTGTAATTCTTCACTCAAAAAAATAGCTTAGTGGAACTTTTTGTGATTAGACGGGAACGTGACTGTGCTTTTGCAGAATTCTGGGGAAACAGGCCATTCATTGCTGGAAGAGATCTTTTAACTTAATTCACAAGGGAAATGTAAGGACTTAATCGCTGTTTTAGAGACGTAAGTCAAGGATAGCATCCACCTAACCCTAAATTCCATCAGAATGTGACTTTATATGAAGAAGACTTCATAGCCGTCTGTAAATCTGCTGTTAAGACATACCCAGAACCATCCAGGTTTTGAAAATAAAGCTATTCTTTTTCCATGACATAAATTTTCCCCACTGTGAGTATTCCTCCTTGCATTACTCCTAAGCACGTTGCATTCTCCACAAACCAGTACTTGTCCCTTCCATTCAGACCCTTGACGTAGGTGTGACAGGCACGCTATCAGATGCCTCCTTTGTCTGTCTGGACTTGAGAGGCCATACTGAGTCAAACCAAAGGCCCACCTCATCCAGCATTTCATCTCCATCAGCTGCTAAACGAAAGCTAACATGGCATCCCTAAAAGCTGGATTATTATTATTTATGGTGTTATAAATGTACTTTCTGTGGAAGCAGTCACAATTTCTATTCTCTATTTTTATTTTTGTTTAAATTCTGTTTTAGTTAGGAGTCAGACCCTGACTTCCATAGCCCAGCTTAGTGTTTAGACACTTATCTTTAAGGTAAACTTTCTATTTTCTGCATGCATGTCTCCCTTCTTACCCCAGACATTCAGTTGTCTGAGGAGACACTGAGCAAGAGACAACCTCGGCAAATGGGATCATTTCCTCTCTTGGGCAGTCTCCTACAAAATAAGAGACTTCTGCTTAACTCAGGTAGAATAGAGATTTGAACTTCTGCCTTGTCAGCTCTGGCTGGGCTCAAGGTGAGGGAATTTTAATTTTAATATGTTTGCCTGAAGTGTCTCCCCTTACATTTTTCTGAGGAACCAGACGTGACTTAGACAACTGGTTTCAGAACAGGGTTTATGATTTCTGAGTGGAAAGCAGGGCTGCTGTCAGTGCAGGGTTTGCTACCGAATTCTCTTTCAGGGAGTGGGTTTAGGTCCAACCTCTGTGCAGCCATCTCCTTTTTGGCTGGCTTCTCTTTTAATTCCCTTCCTAGGTGTCTAGTGCATTGTACAGAGTAAGTACACACATTTATTTATGTTTTAATTCCAGAAAGTGACAAATCACCTGAAAGTTATGTGTTACCATATTGAGTAAGTCAATGTCATTATGAATCAAGCTTCAATTTTTTTTTTTAAAGAGATTCAAATGAAATCCATTGTGGCCTGATATTAGTCATGGTCTGATACCGTATTGAAGATGTACTAGATACCTAGGTAACTAGCAGGTGATTTTTTAAACTATGTGAGCTAGTCCCCATGACATTCTTTTAGCATCCATGGACAAAAATAAGCATCTCTACAGAATTATTAATTTCTTTCTAAGGATACTTCTAAAACAGTGAACATGCCTTGTGCCCAAGACTTGCCTGAGTTTTCCCCACCCCCAGATGGAGTCCCTATACTGTAAAATATCTAAAGTTTGGTGAAGTGAATCCTTCTCCTCCTGCTTGCTGTCAGAATACGAAATGTTAAATGTGACATTGCAGTGTGAAATGTCATTGGCAAGAGAGAAAGGAAGGGGGAAGAAATTTAACAGCTCTTTCAAAACCAGTATGCTTGAAACAAGACTATGTTTTAATGTGTGATTATTATAGCGAAGCAAGGACTTAGATTTGTTTGCCAGATGGGAATATTTTTTCGAGTTTCATTTCTTCAAGTTTTTCATTTCTTAGTTGCCTTTGACAACATAAATTATAAGACTAGTGTATTACACTCTGCCATGTCAAGGAAGGTAGAGTCTAGAGCTTACACCTGTTTCCTTACAATGCTACCAACACTTATCATCATTGATCAAATACGGTCTTATCGCTAGCAGTCACAAACAGGTTCATTTCTGAATGTTCTCTCCATGTCCTCATTTTGGTCCTCACGGATGACCATTAAGAGAAGAGTGAGTTCAACTATTTGGTCCTCCTTGCTAATTTCTCTAAAAAGCTGTTCACATTTAAGACTGGTAGTGCATCTGTTCTGTTAAGTGAAAGTGGTCCAAACAGGAGGCCTGAGCCCTGGATGCTTTATTGTCTACACTGCTTAAGAGTTGTTAGTTCATTCCTTGACTCCATTTTGAAGCACTCCAGCTAGACCTCTGTAACATAAATCTGCTGTGAAGAGGGCTGACCCTCAGCAGTGTAAACATGAGCCAGTCCATAACACCTTTCCTCAAGGACAGGAGTGCTTCTTTTGGCCATCTTATTTTCAGCAGACAGGTGTAGCTGAAGCTTAAAGCTATTTCTAGACATCAGCAATTAAGAGAATTGACTGATTATCGCCAGTATAGCCTTTTAACTAATTGTATCACTGTTTCTGGAGTAACTGTTGAACAGGAAGAAGTACCTGGTGTATAACAATTAATTGCACTGCACAGCGTGAAATAGTATAAAGTGTTTCTGTACTTTAAATTTCTCTCATTGCCTTCAGAATAAATTGCAACACAAGTGTTACTTTCTTTTTAGTTCCTTTGGAAGGTCTAAGAAGTCAAAGCCAATTTGATGAGATGAGAACAAGTTACATTAGAGAACTGGTGAAGGCAATTGGTTTGCGCCAGAAAGGCGTTGTGGCCAACTCACAACGTTTCTATCAACTTACAAAACTGATGGATTCCATGCATGATGTAAGTTTACTTGTTAGTGTGTTTTGCTTTTTATATGTGAAGGAACTAGTATTTCTTAAAAGTAATTTTATGGAAAGTGGCTAGTCAACATTTCAAAACAACAAAAGAAAAACCCCTACATTTGTTCTTTAGTGTGTATATTTGTGTAAATAGCTATATATTCAGCATCAATATATATTGTTTATATATTACATGGTATACAAGATTTAAGTATTTGAGAAACATGCATTTGAATGCTACAATTTTGTTTCATTATTTCTGTAAGGTAACTAGTACAGTTCTGGGTTTTGGTAGGGGGTGGTGTGTATGTATGTGTGCATCTGCATACACGTTCATGAAAATATTTAAATTATGCAAAGAATAGGCCATTCAAGTTGCAAAGTAAGGCTACTAAGAATTAGAGAAAGACAACCAAGATTGGTTCTGCAACCTTAATTCAGCTAGTTTTATGTATATAGTCTATGCCATTTTTTCAGTATCTGTCTATATTTGGGAACTGCGTAATCTTTGAGAACTCTAGTGCTGATATCATAGAGATTCATAAGCATGTTAAAATATGCAGCTGATTCCTTTCCACATCTCTGAGAATCCGGCATGTACCCTATTGGCTTAACATCCATTAAAACTGAGGAACGATGTTTCGTATAAACCTTTGCCCATGTGAACATTGTTTTCTAATGGCTTGTGTATCTCTACAAGAGAGGCAAAAAGCAGAGGTACAGGGCCATACCTGATGGTTTTAGCAAGTGCTGGGGAAGTGGCACTAAGATAGTGTAGGAAGAGCACTTTTGAGTTCGGTGCTGGTTGTGAAAGGCTCGCAGGGAGTTCAAGGAAGGATGGGGTCTGTGCATGTTTTTATTCTGCACTCAGCAAATCTGCATTTTATTTTAACTGTTCATGAATAAATTAATTTATTCACCTAAAGCCTTTCATTGTCACTAATTCCCCCTTCTGTTTGGGAAAAAAAAACCCTTCAAGGATCCCATTTATGGGAGTTAAGAGAGGTAACAATATTGATAATTAAGTGGTTCACCAGGTGGTCTGGAGTCTTTTGATCCACTCCACAAACATCTCCATCAGCTTTTGCTATCTACAGAACTTACATTCACCATTTAGCTATTACATCATCTCAGATACCAGCAAAATGAGAATGAGACAAGTACAAAAAGCATCCTTACATAGCAAATTCTGAAGGGAGGATATGGAGCTTAACTTTAAGTATTTACTGGTAGTCAGGCTGCAGTTGTCACTTGGGACTGTCAGTGCTAAACCCTTCCCTGGAGTTCAGTCAGTCACCTTTTACTTGCAAAAAGTCCTGACCAGTATACCAGCTACCTCATAGTAGCCCTGTGCTCAAGGAACCTCTATGGATCAGTCTTGCTTGGGATAAAAGGTCTTCCTGTGTTACCTGGAGTAACAGTTTGCAATCTGAGTGTCAAAGCATCCAGAGGAAAACTTTTGAGTACTGGGCTGTAGAGTCAATTTCTTCATTGCAAATACTTAAAGTAATAGTAAAATGAGTGAGTGAGACTTGCTGCAAAATACCCAGCAAAGTGATGGTTAGGGTAATTTTTGGTCTGTAGGGTATCTTCATTCAAGTCCCTGTTTCAGCTCGGGCTGATACAGTGATGGGAGATAGAAGGAAAAGATAGATCATCACACTGGAGAGGCTGTGTGTCGTTAAAGCCTAGGGTAGCAGAAATAGTATGATATCTGACAACATGAAGGTCACTGGTCTTAAAGAAAAACTTCTGTAAAATTGGAACTTCTCAGAAAAGATAGAAGAGGTGAAACAGTCATATATATTGAACAGTTGCTTTCAAGGGATGAGAGCCTATGGATTTTAACATTTGCAGCATACCCAGATATGATCATCATCAGTACCATGGAAAAGCTCAGAAGTAAATAGTAAATGCTGTCCCTCAGAGCACGGTTTGAATAGCATTATAGTGAACAAGGCATTGAGACATGGGTTGAACATGAGAATAAAATGAAAGATTCAATACTTGTTTAGTGATTGCCATTGTTCATGGTGCATGTCATGAGTGAGGATGATACTACTTTATAATATTAGTGGGGCACTGTTTTTCTATAACATGCCATTTAGCTATATTTATGATTTTTGCCATGGGAGGATATTTTAATAGGGAGTGGCAAGTACCCTCGTTATTGATTCAGGGAGTGACAGAGGAAGGTATATAATGGTGTCAGCTGATGGATGTATGAGATAAGTGATTGACAGCATGTTTATCTGGCTGCATTACTGTTAGCCTGATTTATCATGTTTGTATTTTATTAAATACAGCTAGTGAAACAGCTCCATCTCTTCTGTCTGAACACATTTCTCCAGTCCCGTGCACTGAGTGTTGAATTCCCCGAGATGATGTCAGAGGTGATTGCTGCCCAGCTACCCAAGATTCTGGCAGGGATGGTGAAACCTCTTCTCTTTCACAAAAAGTGAATTGTCTTTTCTCTTATCATAGAGATGATTTCCGGGTCATTTTTTGTTTGTTTATTTTGGTCAAGATTTTGCAATGTCAGGACTTCAGTATATTTGTCATACTTACCCTGCCTACTGCTTTATACTTGTAACATACACAAGCCATTTAAGCTTGATGTACATATTGTGAATTCCTGATTCCTTAACTGCAAAAATCACAACAGTCATAAGAAATGTTTTGTAAACTTGGCTAGTTGCTTTTTAGATATGCATAAGAATGACAGTAGAGTTTTCAGATTTCTAAGAACAGTTATCTTATACATTTTTCTTACATATTACACACTCTCAAATTTCTGACATGGTGTAAACTTCTTACTTTAGTACCTTGTGTGCATGGGTACATGTGGGCATGTGCGTAAGGCAAGATTTTGGAGGAATTAAAATAAATATTGCCCACATTTTCTCATGGATATTTCACATTTTATTAACTAACCTGCCTCACAGAAATATCCTTTCAAAGTCAGCTGTCCTGGATTAAGTAGACATCGCTGCAATACCTTCATGAGTAACTAAAGTGCTAGGCACAAAGTATACATTCATACTCTTGTCTGTGCTCATACTGCATTGAAACTCTTGAGTTCAGCATACCTGTTTTTGCACCATTCTGTGCAGCTCTCCTTCAGAATCGGAAAGCCTAGGAAAATTTCAGTGTATATTACACCAGAAGTAATGTGTATGCAAACCCACTAAGCTTTGTTTTGTGCAACTTTCCTTAAGAGTTTGGCACTTATTAAAGCTAAATCACTTAGCGATAATCTTAAATTAATCAACTTCAAAATTCTGTATTTCAGAAGCTTTAAATAGAGATGTTTTCACTGACTACAACTCTTAATAATCTTAATGTTTTGGATTCCAATGCTGAATACTCAAACAGCCATTAACAACAAATTACAGCGAGATTAAATGCAAAAAGAAATGGAAAATATGACTGCAAACATTTTGATACACATCAGGCTCATTTCAGTAATATTTAGTGGAGCTACATATTTTATATTTTAAAGGCATGCCATGATAATTGGTATATCTATATATACCATATATAGATATAGTATATAATGGGTAACTGTAAAAGAGGAATTGGACTAAATTAGCTTTATATGTTCAAAAAAATTGTCATGTTTTACCATGGAAATGAATATTTGACTGAAAAATTATCATGTGGTGGTGTTTGTTCCTTTGATATGGATATGAAGCAACTCATGCATTTAAGGCAGTAAATTGTTGATATATTCAAACAACAGAGAAATGGATAAAGCCCAAGAAGAATTTATGGGTTTATTAAAATACAACAAATTTTGCCAGTCACTAAAAATGATACTCAAATTCTCTAACAGTGTAGGAAATGGTGAGTCTTACTTGGGTACTTGCTGGCCATATGCTTTTGCTCTTCCCCATTACATGCTGGATGCATCCATCCTGTGATAGTGTACTGTTGATAGGGTGTAGCTTGGTCTGTATAGATATGTCCTTGTCACGTGAACAAAGCCCTGTGGGACATAAGTTCAGATTAAATCAGGGTGCCCCTCATTAAAAGTATACGTGACGTTACTTGTTCATAAAAGCTATGTCCTGATTCTAGAAATAATGGACAACTAACAACTAAAGGTAGATCTAAAAGTATCCTTACTATTTATCATTTCCTAAAGCAAATCAAGAAGTTGTTACATTACGACTGGGGATAAAAACCTTTTTTTGAGATTCCCACATATTAGTACAAAACCCACTACAGTTGCTGCAAAGATGCAGCCCTGGATAAAATGGTATAAGCAGACTTCTGTGTTAGATGACTAGGTCTGTCATGCCTAAGTGCCCAGAGACAAGCAATTTCTTTCATATTCAATACAATCTGACTTTTACCTGTGATCCTTAAAGCAATTATGTTTTAATAAATAACACAGAATTCATTATTTCTACATATTGAAGTTTTGTTTTCTTTATTTTTCTTTGTATTTGCATTCAGTAGTAGTGGGGCTTAGTAAAAAAGTCCATTTCAACCATTCCATTTTTGTGTAACAACATTTTCATGCATTCTTTGGGAGTTTAAGCATTGCCACGTGATTTACCATTGAATAAACAGACCGTCTATGTTACGGTTTAAACTGTTAACAGAAACTGCCCACACTAAAAATTATTCCTCAACACCCTAATTCTGAAATTAGAAAAAGGAGCAGGCAGTATGTTTGCCTTAGGAATGCTCCGGATCAGCCTACATCTGCCTTCTACTCAATCTCTAAAATTGGTTCCAAGTGGCTGCTATGTCACCATGTCCCATAAATATGGCAGATTAGTCTGAAATGCTCTATATTTGTCTCAAAGGCATAATCAAAAAGCAAGAAAAGAAGTCTTTTGGGAATAGATAACAAAGATTAAAAACATTTTCAGATTGTATTTCTTAAAGATCTCTAACTCATAGGAAAAAATCCCAGAACTTCATGGTCACGATAGATTCACTACGTAAGACAGAACACATTTGGCTAAATGTGGCTGCTATATGGATTTCAAAGTCCTTTGTTACATGATTGTCTGAAGTTTGAACAAACTAGTTTAATTTGAGAACTTCCAGCTTTGAGCCCAGTTAATAAAATTGCCTTTAGGCTCCATTTTGATACCGTCATTTGCTCTGGATTACACAGACACCATGAACACTGATCAAAACACAAAATTGTTTCCTTCCCTATAGAAATCTCATGTACTGTGACTTTTCAGCGCTGTGGCAATGTCCAGAGAGCCATCAGCAAACTAGTTTTTTCTTTCAGTATTTTAGAGAGCATGAGGCTTTTTAGTTGTCTGTATTTCTCTGCATTAATATTTGTTTAAAGATTAAGGGTTTTTTTTGACCTGAGCTTTACAAATAGGTTAAACTAAAACATCTTGTAGTGCTTCTCAATATACTGAACAAGGCATAACAATGCTGGATCTTATGTTGCATTTTGCACACTAGAAATAAGAGGTTTTGGTAGATGGACTTTTTTGGGTTTTGACATTTATGATGGGCCTGATTACATATGAAAGGTATGAGACCTTTTGCACTAATTAGAAGGCTTGCCATCTTCTGCAGATTGCAGATATAACTTTCTGTCTGAGCTATCACTGTAAGTTCTTCATCTTACACTAAATAATGCAATCTGTGCCTGAAGCTAAGCCTCTGCTATTCTGTACAGTTTAGGTATTTTTGACCCAAGGCCTTTAGCATTGCCTTCTGCTAGTACGTCAGTGAAGCAAACCAACCAACCCATGAAGTCAACTGTTTCCTTTGAGCTCTACTGTCATTATTCAGCTTTGTGGAGGCATCACATTTATAGTTTTTAAAGACTGTTTTGGAGGTTGAAGTGCCTGGCTGTGGCAGCCCAGCTGTGCTTGGAGAGCTGTGACAATGCAACGTGGAGAAGAGTCCTCTAGCCCCGGCAAGCTGTCCTACTCTTTCCCACCAAGTTGCTTCACAGTTGTACCTGCTGTGCTTGAAGACATACAAAAGGTCAAACACTTGGCTTATGTTTTCAAAGATCTTAGCTGGATCAACAGTTTTGACCAGCCTTTAGGGAAGAGGGAATGTGGGTTCATTAACACCTAGTCTGTGACAGAGGGAAATGTAGTCTGAGAAACTTTCCATTGATTTCATGGCGCTTCGGAATAGTCTGGTTATATGTGTGCATAATAAACTGAAGCTTAGGTGGTTCTGAGCTCCAGCTGTTCCTTGAGCTGCACTGCATTTATGTTTTCTTGTTATTTCTACAGTAGAGAAAAACTTAAGGTTAGTTTATCCCTAGAGCAGGAGAGGATGGGGCTACGCTCCACCCGTGCAGCAGTGCAGCTCCAAGCTCACATTTCTTGCCTGACGCTATTTGTGGCACGCTGACCTTTCTTTCCTTCCGATAAGTCAGCTTGCAGCCGCAGAGCCAATATCCAAAGCCCTCCCAACTTTCCATGGCTCAAAAGCCTGTGTGCATACTGCCAGGCTAGACTGTCAGCATTGCTGGATTTACTGGTTTGTACTGCTTTGTGTCATGATGACCTGACTTGAACAGAGGGTTTGTTTTTAATTTAGTTCTCTTTTCCCCTTTGGAAGATGAAAAAAAAAAGACATATTTTAGGATTTTTGTGTTTTAGAATTTATGAGGGTTTTCTTTTTCAATGAATGCTATTAATTTATTAGATTGACGTTATTTGCATGCAGAATGGTACTGTAGCTTCTCAGATGCTTGGACAGAAACATGCAGTAAAAGGTGACTGCATGAATAATAATAACTAAGTTAAAATTTAGCTGGCTGTTTACCTCAAAGAGAATATAGTCCTCAGAAAATAATCCTTCAGTGCTTCTGGAACTAATGCAGCAGTTGCATAACTTCAAATACACGAGCAGTGCTGCTTCTTTGATGTATTTTTTTGCTCGCATTTTTTTCCTGGGTTGGGCTCACAGTGCTCTGTACAAGGTATTTAAAGTATATAAAGGATATCCAGGAGGGGTGAGCTTTCATTTAATACTAGTTTATCATTTAAAACTGGCAAGATTTCAGTTTCTTGCCAGTGTGGGGTGTGCTTATTGTAAAAATACCATCACAAGTCTTTTAGTCATAGATCATGTTTTTCTGACCATGAAAACTAAATTACCCTTTCACCTCTGCAGGTACAATAGTTCCACCAATTTAGCATTCAGGCATTTCAGTGAGGAAGTTCTCACAGTGTCATTTAAATAGTCTCACTCTATTGCATTTTCCCACAGCTCAATTTAAATACCCACCCAGCCAGTTTAGTACTAAAATGTCTTTTTCTATGTTGAGGAAAAAGAAATATATAATTGACAGGTATCCAGAACTCTGCGTCAGTGAACTCCACAACTGTGGGCATAATAAATATCTTTGCCATCAAGTCAGAAATAACTGGACAGACCCAGTGCAGAGACCTTTGGGTTACACAGGTGAGACTTACATGAACATCACTGTAAGTTGCTCATTCCATCTTGG